TCGTTGCAGTCAAATTGTTGTGGAGGCTCAGCACAGCTGGCAACAGGTGTGGTGTAAATCGCCATATGACTTCCATCACGGTAAAAAACAGTACACTTGAAAGCAAGAAATAGGCAAATTAGTGTAATTGAAAATGGCGCATTAAAAACTCAGAGAGCTCTTTGTAGTCGGGACGAATGGCGTTTGCATTATGCGCATGGTACACAATAGCCGTGTCACTCAGCACAGCACGCTGGCATTAAAGATGCATGCGACGTTTTCAGTACTGTTTAGTGAACGACAAAAGAATGCCATGTGTATTTACAGTAAAGAAGTCTCCTGACAGAAACAAATGACTGTGGCCCGAGTTAGGATGATTAATTTCCTTTGCCTACTGTAAACAAGTCAAATGCATTTTTAATCATTCCAGAAAAATAACAGCCATCGGCCCTCGGATTGCTAATGAGCTGTGATGCGTTTTAGTCTTCCAGACACAACACTGAGGAATACACGTGTTTCCCACCCCAAATCCCCTCCTGAAAGAATATATGGAGACGACTGCAGAAAGACTGAGAGAGTCAAGGAAGGTCTGGGCAGCAGTTGTGATGAAACAGATGTTATGATCATTAGCACTGACGGTATCATTTATCCTGCTCTGCCCTGACTGCGGAGCTCGAGCGAATGCTTCACAGTTCATGTAATTATGTTGCTTAAGTGGCTTTTATCAGATTGCCATTGTTTGGAATTCGCTAGGCAACTAAAATGAGGTAGTAGGGCTTAGTCACATGGTTTTAGTGTAAACGCACTCAATAAGAGCACCTACGCATGCGTCATTTTTATCCCTCAGAACAGTGCGTTATGCATGTCAGGGCTTCAGACTGCGACCGTCTATGCAAGAATTTACAAATTAATTAATTAATTAAATTAAGTATTGAACAATACTGACACATGCACAAATAAATAAATAAATAAATGTAAAAAAAATACATAAATATTTTCATATAAAACATACAATAAAAAAACACTACATTATACTACATATACAGTATATATACTGTATATATAAGGGATGTGCGCGACGACTAATTTGACTGTCGTTTAAAAGGAAGTTTTGTATTCGACTAGTCGACTAGTCTAAAAGCAAGAAACCCCCAAAAGATGGTAAGAAAAAAAACTGTGCGTGCTTGCATATAATAGCCTATATTTGAAATACTTAATCTACAAATCACACTGTCAAATCCCTCAATGAATTCCGCTAAAAATCGGTCACAATTATGCCGTACGCTTGCCTCGCGTTATCATCATTTAGCTAGGCGGTCGTTAAAAAAAAATTAATAAAAAAAAATGAATAAAGAAGAGCACACACTCACACTCAAGCCAATGCTTATTTATTAAAATCAGCTGGGGAAATGCAGAACAATGGAAAATCAATCAATAGCCTGACAGAATTCTTCATCTTCATATAACGTTAGCCAACATATTAAAACACCAAAGTCCAAAACAATAGGAAATTTTATCAAGGAATAGCATTAAAACGGCTTAAAAAAAAAAAAAACATACTTCATCATGTAGTCTATATCATCTAAAAACAACGAACAAAAAGAAAGACAGAACCTGAGGCGATTAACAATTCCTGCACTTGAAAAAACGCGCTCTGCAGGAACTGAAGTTGTAGGCACGCAGAGATAACGAAAAGCAAGCCAACAGAATTTCGGAAAGCGCCTAGACATCCCGCACCACCACCGAAGTGGATCTTTAGAGGAATAGACTGCGCGGACGGGATCGCAGTGGCGGCGGGTTGTAGTGAATGACGTGATTGACATTAGCTGGTTCTGGCTAGTCTCTAAGCTAACGCCTACGTGCCTGTATTGAATATGAATCGCTCCAGTAGAGTTATTGTAAGACAATTTGACATTACACAGTTTACACAAAACTTTTCCGTTTCCTTCTAATTCAAAATAATCCCCCACACCTTACTCGTCTTTCGCGTGGTCACTTTTGAGCTCGCCACAACTGACACAAAGAAAAGTCATGCGAGGTCTGAGGTAAAAATTTAGTTTACGCCCAGCTACACTTTTAAAAATAATGTATTATTTTTCAAATGTTTTATTTTAACTTATTTAAAATGTTTTAAATGTAACAATGGTAATAATGATGGTACCATAAAATGATGGTAATTTGAATGATAATTAGGGTTTTTTTTTTTCTCTGGGATTATACTATGCAAACACTTAGGAAAAGAGCAGTCTGGACATACATGTTCATGTCATCCATGACAAAACGCATGAGCTGTAATAAAGCTAGAGGGAAATTAAGTATTTGTGCAGCCATTGATCTCTGTCAAGGTATAGAAAAATCTACACCACAGATGGGACTTGCCAGGGGTTATGTAAAATGAATTATAGAGCAAAAAAATAAAAAAAAAGATGAAAATCGATATGTGATCCATTAAGGAGTTAAGTGCCGTGTTCTGACAGGTGGCTCTGTCCCGGGCTGCTCACGTCAATGATGGAAAACCGTCCGAGCGTAAATAATGTAGGAATAAATCAGCCAGAAATGAATCCTCTCATCGTTCAGGAGAGGAAACCCAGCGCAGGACTAAATCACACCAAACAACATCAGCTTCTGAAGCTGTCTATGAATGCGGCCGTTTGCTTTGCACGTGCTTTGGAGCATGTGCGGTATTTGCATGAAGGCTGTCTCTCAAGACGATGAAAGATTCATCAAAGAGCCCGGTCCTGCTTTGAGTGTCAGCCAAGGCGCCGGAGCTGTCAGCTGCCAAAGAAGAAATCACACTGCTTTTCAATTTTAGCACCACGTCCACCACCTCAACCCATGTAGATGCTTTATGTTATATGCATGCGTATATGTGAAAGGGTAATGAGAAATGCCTGGCCTCCTAAGAAACCTAAACGTGTCTTCTCAATGCAGATGAGGTAGCCATCATCCTCCAATGATGATTTAGTCATGCGGTGTTAGAGGAATCCTATAATGGGTTTGGTCTCCAAAAGATTACATTTTCCAAAGCCCAGTGAGATTTTAAAGCCAGACACATTTACTAAGATCTCTCACTGCGGTTTAACAATGTGAGCGGCTACCTGAAGGCTATCTCCTGTAATCAACATTTCTCAGTTCAGGGCACACATTATGGACTTTCATCAGTGCTGTGCTTGAATCCTGGACTCTGTGCTGCCCACTTTGTATTCAACCATGTCGTGCCTCCCTAGTCAATACACGGTGATGAAACAAGCTTGCGTCTTGCTGAGAGAACAAATAATGCAGTGTTCAAAAATTTATATTGCTGTTAAGACTATTCTCAACAAGGGAGATAGTGGAGACCTCCACTGTTATCTGAAACGATGTTTGACAACCAACTGTTTACTTCAACAGACAGCGTTTGGTTTCGACACACACCCATCTTATGTAACCCATCATACGAAATCTCAGTGCGGGATGACATTAAGAGGTCACGTCTCATTAAAAGGATTGGATTAGGCTGGGCGGTATGATGGCATAATGTGTCAACTGTAGAGATTGTACTGTAGGGTTTGTGTGGCATTATAATAATAATATAATAATTTGTTTATATTATTACAATTTAAAATCACTATTTCCTATTTCAATATATTTTAAAATGTAATATATTCCCGTGATGCAAAGCTGAATTTTCAGCATCATTACTCCAGTCTTCAGTGTCACATGATCCTTCAGAAATCATTCTAATATGCTGATTTGCTGCTCAAGAAACATTACTTATTATAAATGTTGAAAACAGTTGTGCTGCATAAATTTTTTGTGGAAAGCATATGTATTGATTTATTTCAGAATCCTTTGTGAATAGAAGTTTCAAAAGAAGAGCCTCAATATAAAACAGAAGTCTTTTGTAACTTTATAAATGTCTTTAATGTCACTTTTAATCAATTTAATGCATCTTTGCTCAATAATTATTTTTAATAATTATTATTATATAAAAAGTATTTTTTAAACAAACAAACAAAAAGATATATCTTACTGACTGATATATATTCTCCTATTCAAGAGAATTAATAAAACATGAAATACAAAAAACAACTGCAACATCATCCGAGCTCAAGCTAGTTGAGTCATTCATCCAGCATAAGTAACAGGTTACCATAGGAACTCATATTTCTTCTGCATCACTACTATAGCTATTCTGTGCTAGTTGGAGGAAGAGTCACTGTGGAGATGAGAAATGGCTGTTCTGTTGAAGGGTCTGCCTTACATCAACACAACCACACAAGTACAGGCCCGATGAAGCTCACACAGTGAGCCGTTCCCTCTCCGGACAAACCGCACAAAATGAAAGCGTACACTATCACTGAGAGCACATTTGCTGCAGGACACAATGAGAAAGCCCTGAGTATCAGCGGAAAATGCCACTCTTTTGATTTGAATCAGATCCGTCACGTTCTGACAGATGCTGCTGGGAAAATCTCATTTACAGGAGGGGAGATCGGAAATATGAGCAAAGTTCTACATTAGCCTGATTCAATGAAGGCTTGGAAATGGGCTTTGTGTGTGTGCTTCAGGTCACGCTTGAGAGTCCAACATCTTTTTGGTTTCAAAAAGGCTTTCAATTTAGCAGAGTGGGCACAGAGCTTCCTGGATGTGCCGGGATCTCAGAATGAGCTCTAAGTGGGATGGTGTATGTGTGTGTGTGTGTGTGTGTGTGTGTATGTGTTTGACTTGGCTCAACGTCCGGGCAAACAGCCAGACCACCGGGACAAGACAGACCTGAGGCCCCTGTGGCTCTCCTGAGAGGTCTATTGTGTACTGCCAACTATAAATGTCACCGATTTCCAACAGTTTCACACAGAGATTTAAGGAAACCGTGTCTTTAAAAGTGTAGGTGCCGAGAACAAATGCCAGCTACAAGCTTCCAGCTTCCTTCAGGCAGCGTGTCAATTATAGCCAGCTTGCGTATGAAATCCTTTGGCCATAAGCACATATTCAGTCTGGTAAAACCTGAAAAAACATCTGTACACTCCAGGTTTACATACCTCTTTGCCTGAGAGATAATAGGCAGACAGCAGGCCTCCAACAAAACGGATGTTCACTTCAAAGACGGAGATTTCGGCATTCTGAAGGAATAAAACACAGGACAACAAAAAGATGTGAATAATAAAGCTCATAAAAACACTGTGACTGGCTCACCTTGAACTGCAGACTGTAAAAATATGGGGAGAAAAATGAATACGCACTACAAACACACTTCGCCCTCATACATCAAATACAAAGAAAGAAAACAATACAACAGAGCTGATAAAGCTCTGCTGGGATTGAGCACAGATACAAACAAGATCCCACGGGAGGGTGAAATCTGAGTGCAGATATTTTCTGCGGATCTGGGAAGCCATGACTGCTGGGTTAAGGTGGTTTCCTATGGTGCATGTAACATGAACAAAAACATCACTCAAAGGATAAAGAGCTAAAACGAGAGGATGCTTCCGAGACTATCTTTCAAATAATAATAATCAAAAAACCTAATATTTCAACAGAAAACCTTTTTGATGTTATACTTTCATCTTATATTTATCTGCAGTAGAGAATACTTGCAGCACCATTACATCTGACAATATGATTTTAAATACATTGTTTTAAACCAGTGCTCTTAGACAGGTGGTACACAGAACAACCCTGGAATTTTACATTACAAAAAATATTTATAGTATTAATATTTTATTACTATAATCTTTACATATAAAATAAAATATTTAAATGATTATTATTATTAATATAAATTATTTTTAATTTTATATTATAAAATACAAAATTGTAAATATATATATATATATATATATATATATACACACACACACAAACAAATTATACATTCAATTAGTGATTTTAACTAATTTAATTATACAGTAACATGTTTAACTTATGTCTCATTCCAATTTTAATATACATTTACGCGTTTAAGATGCATAAGTTGTAAATAGATTTATTTAATTTTTATTGCCAAAGCAGCATCTATGGCAAGATCAATGTATTTTAAAAGAAACAAATAGTAGTAACACACAGTAGTAATGAAACCCAAAAAACTGACAGCTAACTCATATCAATATAACAAACATTATATCATATTTTTCATTTCAATGTTTCATAAAAAAATAAAAAAATAAAGTTTTATTTATGGTTATTTTTATTTTTATTTTTTAAGAGTGCTAATTTGATAAAAAAATGTTATTAGGTCTAAAAAGTTTGAGAACTACTTTTTAAACTATTTAAAAGTAGGACAAAAAATGAGATTCTGGAGGTTTGGACAACCTAAACTCAACCAAGTATCTTAGAGCAGCAGTTGTAGTTGGAACAGTTTATATTATATTGCATTAATATTTCAGACACTGCAATCTGGCACCGTGCAACATGTGGCATGAAACCGCAAGTCTCATTTAGCCTTTGCCATGTGGTGTTATACAGTCTGACCACAGCAACACGTCTGTAGTCTCATCTGATGGTTTATGAAGTGAAATATTTGTGTCTCTGTACAACCAAACAATAATGAACCGCTTATTGCTTAGCATAGGCATCATGCACCATCAAAACAATTTCATAACAGTGCACAGTCGGCACAACAGAGAAATGTCTTGCATCACATTGGTAAATATCCAGTTCAGGGCAAGATAAATGGCTGATGTCTTGGAGTGGTTAGGAGTGTTATGGATAGCCTCTTCTCCAATGCTTAAACTGTTCCAGTGACAACAGGGCACCAGATGTTTCCAGATGATATCTCAACCCTTTTGTGGGTTATAGGAATCTGTCAGAAACTGGCACACAAAGACAATGACAAATGCTTTCTTGTGCATGTTAACTTTGGGGGTTTGGGGGTTGAGAAAGTAGGAGAAAACTTCAGGTAAACATTGTAAGCTCCATGGTAAAACCGGTTAGATCCATTGATATAAATGGTAAAGCCCGAGTATATCCTTTTGCTCGGCCGTGAATTGGACTGACATGTGTAAAACAAAAAAGTGGGTCAAAAATACCCACAAAAAAAACTCCACAAGACACTTCAGAAGTTCACTTCTGAGTCTTGTGAAATCGTCTCCCTGCACACATGAATATGTACAAAATCAATGGGGAATCAGTAGAAGATAGAAGAGGCAAAAAGCAGCGATGCGAAACCTTCACTGACTCTACAACTCTGCAATTATTAAAGAGCTGGCGAGCTTTAGCTATGCTAAGAAACAAATCAAGTGAACTAAATCACTGATATTGATGAGGAAAGGAAAAAAAAACCTTGGAAAAAAAAAAATGGTTATTAAAAAAAATAATCTGCAACAGACTAGAGAGATATATGTACGATACAGACAACCACAATTTTTGTCTATACATTCATACAGCCAACCAAAATTGCTTTGGTTATGATGAATACTGATTCAAATTATTTTTGTGGTCAGATAACTGGTAAACAGAAATGATTATTTATTATGGATTCCTGTATAATAAATAAATAAATAAATAGACTATGATAATAAAAATGCATTACATACAAGAACAAAAATACTACTACTAATAATAATAATTTCTGTCATGACAACTCTCGGAGGGATTGGCATGGTAACTGCATCAGTGGACATGCATGTATCCACACACATGAAGATGAACAGACAAGGAAAGACAAGACACCCCCCACAAAGCAGATCTATCACCAAGACATTTGTACTGCTGCTGCTCCAAAGAACCATGTGAACCACATGTATTACTATCTCTATGTGTGCCTGGGCTACCACGCCGACTGGCTTAACTCTAATTAGACGCACACTATGTGTAATGTTAATTACCAAAATGGATATACGTTGCAATCCGAAAGATAAGACCCGAGCATCCACCTGAACAAATATAATAATTTAGTCATTTAATATCTGCTGTTACTTCCTACACTTCATCAGTCCCAGCGGCAGCATAACAGCTCGTTAATTCGTGTTCGTGCAATGATAAGATGGACAAAGTTAGCCGATGCATGTCATTTTACTCTTTCGTGTAGATAAAGTTGTTAGGGTTACAGTGCACAAACTCCTGGGTGGACTGACTTGAATGAACAAATAAAGCAGAATATAAACATTCTTTCTCAGTTTTCAGAACTACACAGCACAGTGATAGCACACGTCACACGAGCACATTTCTCTGAACTACACTACCCATAATGCATTTCACTCAGAACTGCAACAACCATAGCGATAACTCTTAATTCCCTTCTCCCGCAACACTATCGTTGATATGACTGTGATAAGCGCGTTCTTCTGATGCTGCGTGCAACTGAAATCAATCACACACTCATCTTGATGAAAACATTGACTTTAGAAATAACGAACATGAACACTGAGATTACGCTGATGTATATGGAGAACCCCAGTTGAAATGCATACACAAGAATGCTTATTTCATTTAACCTGTTTTCATGTTTGTTACTATTAACGTGTCCTCAGAGTGATTACAAGCTCTAAACTGCCTTTTGCTCCAGCTGTATAAACACTAGGGGTGGGAATCACCAGAGGCCTCACGATACGATATTATCACGATACTTGTGTCACGGTACAATATTATTGCGATTTTAAATATATTGCGATATTCTGTGATATATTGCAATATATTACCTTTTTCCAACTTCAAATTATGTCTCCAAAGGAAAACTTTGACAACATCTGTTTTAACTAAAAAGAAACATTTCTCAGTTTGTTTATCTCACTTCAGTTTTATTGTTGCAGTGCAAAATGGGATTGTCAAGCAGACAAACTGACCAACACTTTCATGAAAACCTGTCATCAATGTTGCATGCACCTGGCAAACTCAACTATTTGTATTACAGTCTAATCTAGTCCACCTTAATTAAATGTAACAAATTATGTCCCCAAAGGAAAACTTTGGCAACATCTGTTTTAACTAAAAGAAACATTTCTCAGTTTGTTTATCTCACTTCAGTTTTATTGTTGCAGTGTAAAATGGGATTGTCAAGCAGACAAATTGACCAACACTTTCATGAAAACCTGTCATAAATGTTGTATGCACCTGGCAAACTCAACTATTTGTATTACAGTCTAGTCTAGTCCACCTTAATTAAATGTAAACAGGTATGCACTGCTGTGCTACTACAGGTATTTTGAACAGTGCAACTTGAAATTGTTCTAAAAAGTTGTGCAGACCCTTCAGCAATTGGGGCATTTGAAAGTACATTACTGTTCAATTTAAATTAAACAAAATAAAGCATGTAGTCTTATATCTAGGGATGCATCGAAATGAACATTCTGGGTCAAAACGGAAACCGAAAATTCTGGATGCACTTGGCCGAAAACCGTTCTTCAGCATTTAGTTCATGTTAATTTCAACATTTACTAATGCATTATTAAATTCAACAGTTGTGCTTGTTAACAGTTAATGCACTCTGAATTAACATGAACTAACAGTGAATAACTGTATTCTCATTAACTATCATTAAGATTGATTAATAAATACTGTAATAAATGTATTGTTTATTGTTGTTCATGATAGTTAATACATTAACTAACATTAACTAAAGGAACCTTATTGAAAAGTTACCTTAATATTAAATATCAATATATTATTTGACGAGCGTCCCATGTAATCATCAGCGTCGTAAGTTGTA